TGGGGGCTCCGGTCCCCGTTACTTCTGCCAGAACTTGTTCAGGCCCCTTGGAGGCCCTGGAGTTGCCAGCGCCCCACTGACAATGGCCGTGTGGTGGCCACCCAGCCGCCCCTGCCCACCGCCCGTCCGTCCTCCTCCCGCCCCCACCCACCCGCCTGTTCACCGGTCCTCCCCATCCACCCTGCGTCACCTACTCGCCCACCTGCCCACCCTCCGTCCACCCCCCAGTGCTCCCTCCCTCCCGCCACCCTCCTGCAGTCCGTGCCGCGCCTGCCCTTGGCGACGGAGGGGTCCCTGGCCCACCCTCCCCTAGCAGCCCGGTCTTGCGCCCGTGTTTCCTGACCCGGGGCTCCTGCCTGTCCTGGGAGCCCGCGGTTCCGGTCCCGGGGTGCCCTGGGACCAGCCCTCCGAGGCCGCCGGAGGGGTGCCTGCCCTCTTTCTGTGTCTGACACTCATTTGTTCTCTCCCCACCTCGCGAAGAAAACAGAGGCCACAGGCCGCCGTGGTGGGGCTCGGAGAGGCGCCTGTCGGGCCTCTTTGGGTGGAGCACGCACCGCCAGCCCCTCAGTGCCAGTGGGGCGGTTGGTGCCGGCCGGGGACCGGGGCCGGTGTGGCCTCCTGCGGCGTGTGGGTATAAGGGGGTGAGCTGGGTGCGGGGCTTGGGCGGGTGTCACCCCCATGAGAGGCCATGCAGGCTGCAGGTGCGCATGCCCCGAGGCCACCCGCAGGGAGAGTGGAGGATGCAGCCGCCAACCCCACGGGGAGCCGCCGTGTGCGGCACCCCCAGCCTCACCAAGGCTGAGCTGAGGAGCAGGGGGCACGTAGGAGCTGCCGGGGTCCAGGGTGGGGCGGGAGGGGGTGACCTGCACGTGACAGCTACGCTGCAGTTGGGGACGCTGGGGATAGGGCTGGCCTCTGTTGTGGGGGGTGGGAGGGCTTGGGGACCACAGGGCCCAGCACTCACCTCCTGGGCTTCGTCACTCTGGCCCCCCTCACAGCAGGAGCCGGGTAAGAGCTAGGCCCTGCTGGGGGCACGTGAGGGCCCCCACAAGGACACCCAGGCTCTCAGGAGGGGCCCAGGCTGCATCTCTGCTCCCCGTTTTGTGGCTGGTGTTCACGCCACCTGTGGGGCAGGCTCAGGCCCTGGCAGGCATGGGAGGAGGGGGCACAAGCTACCCTCCAGAAGGGGCACTGGCCATGCGGGCCAGGCTCCCGCCACCCCTACAACAGGGGCCCTTGTGCCAGCAAATGACCCCAGGCAAGAGTTCAAGGGGCTGAGTTCTGGAGAGCACAGCTGCAGTGGGCACACCTGAGGGCACACCTGGAGGCCACACCTGCAGTGGACACACCTGGAGGGCACACCCGGAGGGGCCACCTCTGGGGCCAGCGCTGTCCTGCGGGGCCTGCTCCGAGTGCTCATTCCCGGGAGGCAGGCAGGAAGGGGGCCGCTGGGAGGTGTGGGCGGGGTCCCTCGGGCAGCAGCCCGTGCCCAGGGTCTCTGGGGACAGGAGCCGCCGCAGCCGCCCCAGGCTCGGCCCTCCTCCCCCCGCCGGCCCCTCCCCAAGTGAGACTCGCTGGCGCGAGGCTTAGAAAAGCACACAGATTTATTGCATATCAGTCTCACGTGTCCACTCAGTGTCGGTGGGGTTACATTTGGCATTCAGTCCTGCTCCACCTTCTCCCGCAGTCGGCTCCTCCCAGGCTCCGCCTGAGGGGCGTCTCTCTACACGAGTTCGCTGGTCGTTTCCACAGGCGTCAAAGCGACACCGGCGACACCGCCCTCGCGCCTTCCCGGCACCGTGTCTCCGTGTCCCGCCCCCTCCGGGGACCCCGCGCCCCCAGACCCTGCTCGGCGGGCGGGGCTCAGCCCGGACGCGGCCCGGCCCACGCCTGGTCAGTGCAGCTACGGACTCCTCGTCGTCGTCACAATCCATGAACAGACACCAAAGTGACCGCCACACACGGGCCATGCACATCACGGACAGAAGCAACTACACCCGGACGCGGGACACACGGCCCTCCCCCGGCTTTTGGGAAAAAAAAACATGTGAAAACCGGACATTTACATTTGATTTCTGTTGCAACACACACACAGTCCCAAGAGGAAAACGAAACACAGAACAGAGCCGAGCTGAGTCCGAGAAGCAGCCGCGGCGCAGGGAGAGCGGGCGGAGCCGGCGGGGCGGGCGGGCGGAGCGGCCGGCGGGTCCCCAGCGCCTCTCTCGCCTTTCTGTCGCATCATCGCCCAGCGGGGGGACGCGGGCGTGGAGCGGACCCCGGGGCGGGAGGAGAGGCTCTGGCACGTCGCGAGGTCCTCACGGCGCCCGCCGTCCGGCAAGGGCAGCTTCGCGGCCGCCGGAGGCTGGCGGCCGGGCCCCCAGCTGTGTCCCGCGGCCCAGGGGCGGCCCGCGCCTCGGCGATGCAGCTCAGTAGACTTGGGCCCCTCGGGGCTGGGTCATCCAGTGCTTGGAGGCTCCCGCCGACGCCTGTGCGTGTCTTCGCCGACGCTCGGGCGGGGAGGGAGGGCTGGGGGCCCGCGGTGCTTCGGGGCGGCGTCAGGTTGGGGGGTGGGGGGGCGGGCGGCCGGCTGGGCCTGGTCCACGGGGGCCACACGGACCTGGCAGTCTCTCGGGCTCTCCGTCCATGGAGCCGCCGCCCGCCCCGGCAGTCCTTGGACTGCAGGCCTCCGGGGTAGCATCGGGGCCTCGGGGCGCCCCCCGTGGAGGGCCCGGCTGGTCACGGGCGCCCCGCCCAGGTGGCCTGGGGTGGCGCGGGGGCCTGGCTCCCGGGGGCTGGAGTCTGGATGGGGCTGAGGGTCGCCCGCTGGACTTCCGTGGCTGCCGCGGGAGGCCGGATGGCAGGCCCTGCCCACAACCCGCCCAGAGTGGCTGCGGGGCCGGCTCTGGGCCTCCCTGAGCCTGCGGAGGCCAGTGCAGGGCGGGGCGAGGAGAGGCAGGCGGGGGAAGTAAGTGCTTTGTCAGGAGGTCCAAGGATGGCGCCCGGAGACTGCCAAGTGCTGGGACCTGAGGGGCTGAACGTTTAGGAGAAACCGAGTCCACTCAGCGTCGGGCAAACACCCAGGAGGGAGGACGCGCCGCAGGGCCTTCCGGAGGGGCTCTGAGGGGACCCTCGGGAGCCGGCCATGGGCGGAGCTGGCCACGATAGAGGCCGGGGGGTGCTGCCCCGTCGGGGCTCTGCACCCGGGCCCCTGTCTCGAGCGGGGCATCAGAGCGCAAAAAAGAGCACACACCTTATTCTTTAGCAAAGAAATCATATAATTGGGGTTTACAGAAAACGGGGTGTTTGTATCTGAGATCGAATTTTTCAAAGGCGCCCCTTTGTTCGCAGGGCCACTGGAGGCCCAGGTGCCGGCGGGCGGGGCTGCGGGGCTGCGGCCTGGCCGCTTGCGGTGGGGCGGGGCGGGGGCAGGCCATTCCCCGGGTGTGCGGGGCGTGGGGCCTGGCGCCCGCCTGCGGCTGTCTCTCCCGAGAGCACACCCCGGGGGACCCCCGCCAAGCGCGCCCCAGCTGCCCGGGCACCGGCTGTGCTCGGAGGACAACCTGGCGCTCTCCCCTCCTCGTGGGGAAACCGTGACTCTTCCAAACCACAAAAGAAATAAATAGAACACTTGTCTTAAATGCAACTGAAACTCAGATTTAACAAAAACACATGATTGTCTGGGAAGCGGGCAGCGCTGCGGCGGGCGCGGGGACGGGGCTTGGCACGCGGGGTGCCGCCCGCCGCCGGTGCCCGCCCCACAGCACAGCCTCGGTACAGGGTTTTGGTCCGTCACTAGATACTTATATTAACATCATTTCTTCACGATAAGAATGTCTAATGCCAAAATACTGTTAAGGAAGAAATAAAATAAGAAAGAAATGAATTAGAAAAAATTACAAGTTATATACAGATTAAGGTAAATCCATCAGGGAAGAAATTACTATTGGAGATTGGCCCCTCGGGAATAATTTAAAGTCGTCCGTGGGAAGCAGACTCGCCGGGAGGGCGCGGCCCGGGCTCCCTGCCGGTCCCTCGGTGCCCGTCGCCGTCCGGCGCTGTCCCCGGGCCGCACCTCGCACAGAGCGCGGCCTGCGTCCTGGATCCCGGGTCTCGGGGGACCCAGACTTGGTGGCTGTGAGCGGGGCCGTGAGGCGCCCGCAGCCGTGGGCTGGCCCGTCCTTGCCTTGTGGCTCTGATGGGGGAGGAGGCGGGGGCGCGAGAGTCCGGCCGGCCAGCAGGCCCCGCCTCCCGGGGTCGCCGTGGAGCGGGCACAGGGGGCCGGGGTCGCCGCCCGCCTTCCCCTGCGATGGGGGGTCTCGGTGGGCCCCGGACACAGACCACGCGTCAGCCGATGGCGGCGCAGCCCCAGCCCGGGGCCCCGGGGCCGGCGCCGCACGAGTGGACGCGCCCTGCGGGCTGCCCCGGCGCCCGGCGCCTCGGCCGCACAGACGGTCGGGGGTAGAAAATCCTGCCGTAGCTACAGTATAAAGAACACGCCGAGCAGCGCGCCCTGCAGGCAGGCGCGGGCGGCGAGGAAGCTGAGATTTCAAAGCGATGCAAAATTACTTTTAAAAAACAATTTGCAAGTCATTTTTCGATTTTTTAAAAAATACTGTCTATCTTCAAAACCACATGCTCAAGCGGACGCTGCCCTCGGCGGGCTCCCGGGCTCTGCCCGGCACCGCCTGCCCCGCTCAGCGCGGTCTGTGCTGCCCGCCCCGGCCCCAGCCCGGGGTCCAGCCCGCCTGACCCTGCGGGCCGCCTCGGACAGGGGTGCGCTGGCGCCGGGACCGCGGCCTCAAGGTCAGTTCGAATGCGGGGGAGCAGCCGGGACGTGGGGCACGGGGCTGAGCGGCGACGGGAGGCCGGACGCTGAGGGTGGGCAGACGCCGGCGACGGTCTCCCGGGTCGGGCGGTCGATCCTGCGGCCTCGCCGCCGCTCTCCGCAGCGGGGATCTCCGTCGGGACGGGCGTCGGGGCCCCGGTCCCTGGCTCTGGACTCTGACCCCACCCCTCTGGGTCGTCAGAGGTGGTTGATGGGGTTAAAGGCTCCGGACTCGGGGGCGGCTCCCGTGATGTTCAACCAAGCGTCCAGAGGGCTCTGGGAGGCGGTGCGGAGAGGCGCGTCCTCGGACAGGGACAGCATCATTGCGTACGCCTGGGGGCACGGGGCACACAGGACCGCGGTGAGCTGGGGCTCTGCTGTGCCGGCCCGCCTGCCCCCCGCCTCCCCCAGCTGCCCCCCAACGCAGGCACCAGAAGAGGAGCATGTGGGGGTGAGCAGGGAGGGCAGGGCTGTGTGCGGGGCCACACCGGGGTGGGGGTGCCAGCCTGCTCGGCCCCCTCGGCCTCTTTGGGGTGCGTCCCCCTGCAGTCTGGGGCATCCTCCTGGCGCTCTGCTGGTGGGGGGGGGGCAGGGAACGGCGGTCGCTGTTGCTAAGACCCTGCCACGAGCCATGCCCGCCTGCTGGGCAGGGGCCGCTGCTGCGGCTGGAGACGCTGATGGCCCTGGGGGACACCTGCCTGCACGCTGTGGGGGCGCCGCATTGCGGCCTGGGGGAGGGACGCACAGGCTTCTACAAGGCAGACGTGCTTCTGGCCTAGGGGGGTTAGGCTGGCCGAGGGTCTTCTTGGCCACAAGCCCCAGGGCGCGGGGTGGGGGGTGCGCAGAGCAGGCGGGTGGAGAGGCCCCCTGCCGTGAACACTGGACAGAATTAGTAAAGAGACAAAGACAGACACATGCACGTGGGCTCCTGGCTCGGTGACCCTGGCTCCTGGCTCGGTGACCCTGGAGGTAGGGCTGGGCACTGGCCTACCCTGTGGCTCAGAGGAGGTCAGTGACCGCCTGATGCCCAGCTCCCTGGAGGGAGCACGGGCACGGGGCGGGGCCGGCACAGCATTCACCCTGGAAGCTGGTCTGGGACGGCCCTGCGGGGCCAGAGGACAGTGGCCACGTGCCCGGGAGCCTCAGGTCCTGCGCTCAGACTCTCCCTGTCCTGTCTTCACTCACGGGCAAGTGGCAGTCAGCTGGGCACCTCTTAGCCAACGTGATGGGCACAGGGCGGGCTCAGGGACTCGGGGATCTCCCGGACAGGCGTGGCTGCGGCCTGCCGTCCGGCCTGGTAGGGGCTGGGGCTCTGTGGGTACCTACCTGGTTCTTAGCCTGCCTGTACAGGGTCTGTTTTAAAGCCTCAGAATCTAAGGTGGCATTAAGCACATCCTTAACTCCACACGCTTCCTCAGCTGCTCTGCGGAGGTCCAGCCCCTTCCCAAAAGTCGGCATCGGCTCCAAAGCCAACAGGCCGCCCGCTTGGTCCTCAATACACCTGCACCAATGACGGGAGAGGCCCGGTCAGCCGGGCTGGCCTCCGGCCACCTCTCGGACACCCTCCGGTTGGCTCTGTGCCTGCATGCACGCCATGGCGTCTCCAGGAGCCACATGCACAAAGAGACAGACACACGACACAGACAGCGGACGGAGGCACACGGATGCAGGACAGCAGTGGGCGGAGGCCCGGGGCGCGCACATTGGCCGCCAGCAGCAGGAGGGCGACCGCCCGGTAAAGAAGGGGCCTGACTCCTGGCCGCTCTGGGGGCCAGGGCCTGAGAGGAAGGGCCATCTCGGAGAGGCCCTGGGCTGCAGCCTCCGCGGGCAGGGGCCGGGGCCGCCGTGCAGGAGAGGCAAGCAGTAGGGACCTGGGGGAGGAGGCACCTCCAAGCTGCAGGGGCTCGGCACCCTCGTCCTTGCAGAGCCCCTGCCGGCCTGGACCGGCTTCCTCTCCGCAGCCTGCACTCTGCCTCCAGGCCGCGGGTGGGGGGCGCGGCGGGCGTGTGCGCAGGCGTGGCACGGCTGGCTGCTCTCGCTGAGGAGGGGAGCAGGACCCCGGTTCGGACCCGGCCCGTGGCCAGCACCCACCTGCGGGTGTGGTCGAAGCCCACGGCCAGGCCGGCGGGCGGCTCCTCGTCCTCCTCATCCTCGTAGGCCCCCTGGGGTTCTGGCGCGGGGGACGCGGCGTCCTCCTGGGACTTCCCGGCCAGGCTGTCCTCGTCCTCGTCCTCGTCCTCATCCTCGTCCTCCGCGTCCTCCGGCTTCCCGCCTGCCAGGCCCGGACACTGTGCGCTGCTGTCCAGGCCCTGGGCCTCTGGCCTGCAATCACAGGGCGGAGTTGGCTGCGGACGCCCCCGGCCGGGCTGCCCCGGACGGCAGCTGCAGGGACGCCCAGTGGACTCGGCTGCTCGGGGTCGGCGACGGGGCCTGCTGGGGAGGCCCCGGCCTGGAGCCAGAGCCGGTCCCGCGGGGCCCCTGCCCGGGCCTGGCCGCCCTGACCAGCCGAGGACCGCGGGCTCGGCGCCCCGGGCGCCGAGGGTGGAGGCGGAGCCGGGGGCGCCCTTCGGGGGGCAGCTCCCGAGGTGGCCAGCCCACTGCACGGGCCTCCCGAGGCCCCGCCAGCCCGGGGCCCCCAGCACGGCTGCTGCCCCGAGGGGCAGGGGTGAGCCGCGCCGGGCCGGGGGTGAGGGAGCGCCGGGGCGGCGGGCGGGCGCAGGGGGGCCCTCACCGCGGGTCGGGGCGCGCGGCCGCCGGGCCCAGCTCGCTGTTGGCGATGAAGTTCCTGATCTCCGAGAAGTACGCGTCCTCCTTCTCGTCCAGGAGCGCGTGCTGGTCCGGCTCCGAGGTCGGCGACGAGGCGCCGGTGCCCAGGTGGTTGGTGAGCACCCGGGGTGCTGGCTCACTGCGGGGCGGGGCCGTCAGGGGGGCGCCCGGCCTCGTGCCCCTCCCGGCCCCGCCCCGCCCCGCCGCGCCGGCCCCGCCCCGCCCCTCCCGGCCCCCCGCCTCCGGGCCCCGCCCCGCCCTCCGGGCCCCGCCCCCGCCCCGCCCCTGCCGCACCAGGCCCGCCCCGCGCGCCCGCCAGGCCCCGCCCCGCCCGCAGGCCCCGCCCACCTGGCGCGTGCTCGTGCTCGTGCTCGTGCTTCTTGAGGTGCCGGTCCAGGTTGGTCTGCTGCCCGAAGCAGCGGTGGCACAGGCGGCACTTGAAGGGCTTCTCCTTGTTGTGGATGTTCCGCACGTGCCTCTGGAGGTTGGAGGAGATGCTGAAGGAGCGGTCGCAGTACTTGCACCTGGAAGACACGCGGCTCAGCGCGCGGGGTCCCCGGCCGCGCCCCCCCAGCCCGCGCCCGCGCCCGCGCCCCGCCCCCGCTCGGCGCCCCCCCCCCCGCCCCTCGGAGCCCGCCCCCGCCCGCCCCGGGACCCGCGGCAAAGCCGGAGGGGAGGGCGCCGGCGCCCCCAGAGCGCGCCCCCCCCAGGCCGCCGGGCTCCCGCGCGGCTCCGCAGGGCGGCCTCGGGGGGCGCGGTCTGCACGGCCGGCCCGGCCCGGGAGGGGGTCGCGCAGGGCCCTGAGAGCGAGGGGCCCGGGGGCGGGGGGGGCAGCCTTCACCCCAGCCCTGCGGGCATCGCCTCCTCGGGGCGGGGCAGACCCTGGGGGTCGACACTGCCCAGGAAGGCCAGGGGTTTCCAGCCACACGCCTGGCACACGTGGGCACACGGGGGTGATGGTCCCCCAGGGAGCGATTCCTCTTCATTATCAGCTCCTGAGCCCCCAAATCCGGCCCGGGGCCGGCTGACGCGGGCCCTTCCGGAGGCAGCGGCCGCGGACCCACCGCGGCCTCCCGCAGGCCCTGCCCCTGAGCTGGCCCGTGGGCCGCCCTCCTGGCCAAGCCCCCGCCTGCCACTCCCTGACCCTGGCGTCCACAGCCGTGGCACAGCCGTTGTCTGGCGTGGCGGGCGGGGGGGGCGCAGGGGTCACTGAGGACGGGCTTGAGACCCCACGCCTAGGTCAGGCACCCGCTCCGCCCCCCAAGTGGTCTCTCACCGCCCAGCGCGCCCCTCATGCCAGACGCCCTCAGGCTCTCAGCCCCCGCGGCCGGGAGGATGCCGAGTGCCCCGCTGGCCACTCTGGGGCCCTAGGGTGGCTGCAGACTCTGGGCTGGGTCCTGAGCGCCCGGCGGCAGAGGGGGCAGGGTCCTGAGCCCTGCCTTGTCCTGCTGTGGGGCCGTGTCACCCGCTGGCCTCCCGGGGGACGTGTGGGGCTCGGCCGGGGGTGGGGTCTCGCCAGCCTGCACGGAGGCAGCCCTCCTCGGCTGGGCTCCTGGACGCAAGCGCAGGCCTTTGCCTCTCACAAGGCAAACCCTTCTGGCTTCCAGAGGGAGCCCCGAAAACTTGCAGTGTCAAAGCCAGCACCCCGAAGGCCTTGGCTCCAGGCCCCGCAGGGCCAGGGCGGCCGGGGGGCTTCCTCGCCAGCACTGCCGTGCGGGGAGTCGAGGCTCGCAGACGGGCGGAGCGAAGAAGTTGATGATAATTAAATTCCCCCAAAAGCCTCGCCGCAGCGGCACCCACGTGGCCCGCCTGGCAGGGAGGGGCCGGGCAGTGCCGGCTGCCGTGGGAGGACGGGCCAGCATGGCGCCGGGCAGAGCCGGGCTGCTCCTTGTGGCCTGGGCAGGACGTGCCCCCAGGGCCCAGGAGCTGGTCACCTCCAGGGCTGGGGCACGGCCGCCCTCCCCGGTGATGGGACGCCGTGTCTCCAGGCGTGGCCAGGACTCGCTGCCCTGTTCGGGCGCCCCAAGGCTGCGGTTTCCCGGCCCCCCAGCCCGGAACGAAGCTTCGGTGCCTGACACAGCTCCTCCCCGGCCACCGTGACCCCAATGTAACTTTGGAAAGCCGGCTGCAGGCCTTCCCGACGGGCACCCCAAAGCAGGACGTTGCCCTCAGCTGCCTGCCCACCGAAGGTGCCAGGAACCCCGGCGGACCCCTCTCCCCGCAACGCCAAGTGGGAGCGGGGGGCCGAGTCTCAGGCTACGGTGCCCCTCGGGATGGGCGAGGCGCGGGGGGCCCACCTCGCCTGGCCGTGCGGCTGCATCTCCATGGGGACCCAGGCCCGGGAGGGGGTACAGGCACACGGCCCCCCATTTGGGGCTGTCAAGGGGCTGGGCGGGCTGGACCCTGTTTGCACGGAGCCCCTTCTCCACTGCGACGGCGCTGGGCCCGGTGCCCGGGGTCAGTGGCCGCTGGGCCCGGGGTGGCCAGGGCTGAGCAGGGTGGGGCTGAGGTGTGTCCCACAGAGCGCGCCTGGGGGCTGTGCTGGCCCCCCCATCTGAGCCCCCCAGTCCACCCCAGGAGCGAGTGGGCACCCTCTGGGGGGGGCGGCACCACCTGCCTGACCTTAGCACGTCCCAGCGGTGGGGCCGGCAAGAGGGGCCAGGGTGGCTGGGGGAGGCCGCTCTCCGCCTGCGCACGCGGTGGGTCCGACCCGCCTGCCCCCCAGGTGGGAGGGCGCCTACCTGTAAGGCTGCTCCCCCGTGTGCGTCCTCAGGTGTCTCGTGAGGTTGGCTGATCTGGGGAAGATCTTACCACAGTACCTGGGGAAAGGCGGGCCGTCAGGCCAGCGTCGCGCGGCGCCGAGACAGGGGGCCGGGTGTGCCCAGTGTAGCCCCCCGCAGGTGGCCGCCAGCCCCCGTGTCCTCCTCCTTCAGCCGGTCCCACCTGCACCCGGCGGAGGGTGCCCTCCTCTGGCCCCCGCAGCATCCGGGCAGAGTGGGCTCAGCTCCCGCCAGCTGGGCAGCCCCTGGGTCCCCCACCAGCCCTTCTGCTCCCCCCAGACCGTCGGTCACCGCTGCCCTCGGCGCGCTGGCCTGCCTCCCTGTGCCCGCGGGGCCGAGATCTCGTGGGGGGCGGGGGTCCCCACGAGTACGTGCACGGGGCAACCCCGGCCGGCGGGTGCGCCGCCTGCGCCCTGGCCTCGTGCTGCCGCGGGGCCTGCCCCCAGCAGCCTGGGCTCAGGGGCGCACGCGACTGAGGCCTCCCGCCCCCCGCCCAGGGTGCCCACCTGCAGGTGTACCGCTCCTTGCCCTTCCTGAGGATGGGGTCTGAGAGCGTCGGGGGCGGGGACCGGAAGTTGAAGGGGTGGTGGGGGAGGGGCTGCAGGGAGCTGCTCGTGTCCGCCTTCATGGCCGCGAAGCTCTCCAGCTTCTCCGTCATGGTCTCGATGGCCGACATCTGTTGGTGGCAGAGTGGATTGGGGCTGCAGCGCCCCGCCGAGCGGCCGGCGCTCTGGACCCACCCCCAGGCACTGGGGGTCCGGGGTGACCCAGCAGGTCAGGGGCGGGCCAGCACGGAGGCCGGGTGTCCTGCAGGTCCGGCCGCCGGCTGGGAGCTGACTGGCCTTCCCCAGCCCGCCTCTGCCAGGCTTGGCAGGACACTGGCCCTGGGCAGGCAGCCTGCCCCTGCTGCTCACGACACATCCCGGCCTAAGCCAGCGGAGTCCCGACAGTTGGACTCCTGGCCTGGCCTGCACCCCTCATTGGCAAACTTGGGTTAAATGCAGAATTAGATCGAGCTTTATTTTTTAAAGTGTTGAAAAGTCGAGACAGCTCTCGACTGGGCGCCCGCCTGACCTTAGCACGTCAGCGGGGCCGATGCGGCTCCACCACCTCGTGGCAGCTGCTGCAATTGCAGGCAAAGGGCTCCAGAGGGCACCCGACTCTCCAGCCCGTTCAATCAACTGGAACGTATAATGCCCAGTGTCACCCGCGCCTGGCACAGAGCCAGCCAACATGGGCAAGAAGAGCTGCCCTCAGCTACTTAGAGATCCCCTGGCTGTCCCCAGGAGGACACAGACCACGGCAATGGTCATGGCCACCTGGTGGGCAGAATTCTGACCAGGATCCCAGACTGCCCACCGAGGCCATGGGGCTGGGGACGGCGGGGGAGGCTGGTATTGTGGGGCTTCAGGGGCACGTCCCCTCTCACCCCCACGGAGCCACCCTGCCGGGGGGTAGGGGTGGATCCTGGGGAGGAGGAGCTGGCATTGTGCCCTGAGCTCCTGGGGCTCACGCTTAGCAGGAGAATTTGGGGTGCAAAGCCTGTACCTCCCACGGGGTCCCAAGCCCCTGGAAGGTGGGCTGGCGACCCCGGGCCCTCTACACACCTTAGCTGGTCTATACTCACAGCAGCCCATTTTACCTGGGGGACCCCAGAGAAGGGGAGGGGAGCAGGGTGGCTGGGGGAGCGCAGACGTGCAGGGGAGACCATGCGGGGGAGCTCTTAACCTTCCAGGTGCTGTGATCACTGGGAGACACCAGCCCCGGGGGTCCCCAGCAGCTGGCGTGTAAAGACGGTGTGGGGGAGTGCGGGGAAGCCTCTTTTAGGGGCCGCAGCCTGTGCTCAAACTTGGGGCCGGCCACTCCCAGAAGTCCTTGCTCACCTGCACCCGGACCTCACCCCAGCGCCAGCAGGGGTGCTGCCCTCGCCGCTGCCCCACCTTGCCTCTGTGGGCCCCGCTCTCACTGGGAGGCGCTGCGGGGGAGTGGAGGGCTTTGACGCTGGCCCCGCCCCGTGGTGGGCACGTTCTGCTCTTTGGGGAACAGCCAGATGGTCTCGAGTGGAAGTGGCGCCTGTGGACAGCAGCCGACTTCTGACCCCAGCCTCCAAGCCAGCCCTGCCAGCTGGGCCCGCATGACGGCTTCAGCTCTGCCATCCCGGGGGCCAAGTCTGCCATCACAATGCCTGGTGCTTCCTGCTGCAGGCACGCGCCCCCTCCACGCTGGATAGATGGACACTGCCTTGCCCTGGCCATGGGCACAGGGCACCCGCCCTCCTGCTGCGCCTCAGAAGGCTCTGGCCTCCACCAGCCATGGGTCCCGGGCACGCTGCGGCGTGGCTTTGGGGCGGGCCACACTCGCCCGCGCTCAAAAAGCAGGAGGCCTGGCATGGCCTGCTTTGTACGGCAGGGCCCCCGGCCTCGGTGGAGGCTGCGCGTTTGGCTGAGGACTGGCCAGGCGCGGACTGTTCAACAGGTGACTTCGTGGTCGTCTCTTGCCGTCTGTCCCCGGCCCGCGGGGAAGCAGCGGGGGCGGCAGGGCCTGGGGGAGCGGCGGGAGGGACAATGGGCGGCCGGCCCTGCCCCCAGGTCTGGCCGGTCTCAGCCAAGCCACCGCAGGGCCAGCCTGGCCGTCTGTGCTGCCCGATCAGATGTTCCCGTCCAGCTCGGCGCGGACACAAACGCAGGATACGCCTGGCCGCCTTGTCGGCCTTCCCAGCCCGGCCCGAGCAAAATCAGGGGAAGTCGTTCGCTGGCTCGAGGCGCAGGGAACAATGGGAGACGCTAAGTTTAGCTGTGAGGCCGGGCAGCGGGGGTTTCACAAACTGGGGGTGTTGTCCCAGGCGGGATGGCGGAGAACAACGCCCGGTCTGGGGTCTGGGTTCAGGCCCAGGGCTCCTGGCTGGGGTGGAGCAGGGCTTGGGGGCGGCTGGGCCTCAAGCAGGGAGGACAGCGGAGGCAGTCAGGGAGACCGCCCAGCCCCCCGCTCCCTCCTGGGTGGACACGGCAGGAGGGCAGCCAGGATAGACGGTGCCCGCCTTGCCGGTGGCCTGGCCACCCTGTGTGGTCCGGGGAGCGCCCTCTTCCTGTCCGCCTCCCGGGACCTCTGCCTTCCCACTGTCCCTGCCTCTGCCTGGCCCTGTCCTCGTGCCCTGGCCTCTGCTGTCGCTGGCCCTGGCGCTCCTGGCCTTCTCACTGAGACACTCGAGGCCCATGCACCCCAGAGAGGGCTGCTCGTGTCCACAGTGGCCCTCAGGGGCTGGCCGCCACGGCAGGCCCCTCCTCCTCGCCAGCCCGGGCCCCGCCCATCCTTCCAGGCTTGGGGTGGCTGTGGGGTCTGCGGGGACCCTCCCTGGCTCCTGATGATGGCGAAACTGAGGCCCAGGGGCCCGGGGGCCACCGAGCACAAGGCCCGCCCTGGGACATGATCTTGCCTGGGCACCAACGGGGGACTCCTGCCCCCACCCGGGTGTCCCACGTTGCCTGGGGAGGCTGGGGGCCGGGGAGGGGTCCCGGGTGTGCCCGCCGGGCTGCCTGCTCAGGTCTCACCTGCGGGTGGAAGAGCAGCGGCGACGGCCGCAGGTACTTCTCCTTCAGGACGCCCACGGGGTCGGCCACCTTCCGCTTCTCCACCCTGCTGGACGGCAGCGCAGAGGGTTACGCACCCGCTGGGCGGGAGGCCTCTCGGGCTCGGCCGGCTCCCTGGACGGCCTCGGGGAGCAGCCGCCTGCCCCGCCGCCCCGCCCCCGCCCACCTGGCGCGCAGGCGAGGGCGGGCCGTGTTAATACCTGTAGATGGGGTCCATGAAGAAGGGCGAGGGCTTGGCGTAGTGCAGGGGGGGCTGCTGGGGCAGCTGGCCCGGGCACACCTTGGGCAGCCCCTCGCCAGCCCCCAGCCTGCGCTCCCCATAGATGTGGTTCTTGCGGGGCTCCCGGGCGCCCCCGTTCTGGCTGGCGCGGGCGCGGCTGCCGATGCTCAGGTCCAGCGGCTGCTCCTCGCCGGGCGCGGGCGCCGAGGGGGGCTTGGGCGCGGGCAGCACGGGCTTCGCCTCCTTCGGCTTGGTGGTGAGGTCGAAGGGGGACTCGGCGCTGGGCCCCCCCGCCTTGAGGGCGTCCCGGGGCGACTTTGGCTCGGCCTTGACCAGCAGGTTGTGGGCGAGGGCGCGGTCCGTGAAGGGGCACAGGGAGTGCGGGAAGCTGGGCAGGAACTGGAAGGGGAACACGGAGTGGTAGGGCAGGGCGCCCAGCTTCTTCTCCTGCATGCCCATGAAGCCGGGCCCGAAGTACTTCTCGGCGATGGACGCGATGGCCTTGATGGAGTCGCCCGCCGCGCCCGAGGCCGCCAGCAGCTGCTCGTCGGGCGGCGGGAAGAAGGACTGCTGGGAGTAGAAGACCGGGACGTCGCCCACGCTGCCGGGGGCCCCCGGGGGCGCCGCGCCCCCCCCAAACTCGGCCTTGCCCTCGGCCGCCTTGCCCTTGCCCTTGGCCTTGTCGCGGTCACTGTCCACGTCGCTGTCCAGGTCCGAGCCCGTCCCCGTGGTGGTGTCCAGGTCGGTGCCCGTCGTGGTGTTCAGGTCCTCGAAGTCGCTGCCGTCCGACAGGTCGCTGCTCCGCGTCTTGAGCTTCTCGGCGTACGCGTCCTCCAGCCGGCCCTCGAGCTTGTCCTCGGCCGCCGTGCCGCCCTGGCCGCTGCCGCCCACGGCGGACACGAGGGGCAGGGCGGGGTTCCCCAGGGGGCTGGGCAGCTTGGCGTCCTGGGTGTGGTTCAGGGGGCTCTTGAGCAGCGGCGTGGGAGGTAGCAAGGGCGGCCGGGGGTACAGGGACGGGGGGAAGATGCCGGGGAAGCGGGCGTGAGCGCGGGGAAGGTGGGGGGCCCCGCCGAGAAGGGCAGGCCCCCGGGGTGCGGCCTGGAGGGGAAGAACTCTCCGAAGCTCAGGCCGCTGTGGTTGAGGGCGGGGGAGGGCTTGGCCTTGTCCATCATGGGCCGGGGGCCAGGGGCAGGCCCGGGCGAAGAGGCCGCCGGGCGTGTAGTGGCTCTTGCCCTCGCAGAAGCGCCGGTGCTTGTTGAGGGAGGAGGTAGTGCTGAACATCTGGCCGCAGTCCTTGCACTTGATCTGCGTGCGGCAGTCCGCGTGCATCCGCTTGTGCCGGCACAGGTTGGAGAACTGCGTGTAGGACTTGTGGCAGACCTCACCTGCAGGCCGGGGACGAACACCGCGTGAGGTGCCGAAGGCCTCGCGGGCACGGGGTGGGGCTCGGCCCCCACCCGGCTCTGGGGCGACGTGTGCATGTGTGTGCAGGCATGCACGTGGACACGGATATCCAGGCCTTCTGTGTGTGTCCTGGCATGTGTGCAGGCGTGTGCACCCAGGTGTGCACGGGCACACAGGTGTGTACGTACAGGTGTGTGCACACAGGCGTGCACAGGTTGTGTGCAGGCATGTGTGCACAGATGTGCATGTACAGGTGGTGTGCCTGTGCACTGGTGTGCATGTACAGGTGTGCACAGGTGTGCATGTACAGGTGTGCACAGGTGTGCATGTGTGTCCAGGTCTGCGCACCGTGCAGTGGTGCTCGTGCCCCTGCGCCTGCGCCTGCCCCAGGGGCTGGCAGTCCGCAGGGCCTCTCTGGTGGAAACGTGGCCTCCGCCGCTGGCGCCTCCTCCCTGCCCCGCTGGCCTCCAGCCGGGGCCGGCAGCACCCGGACCCACCAGCCCCCACCGCCGGCGGCAGGCGCCCGCGCCGGGGGGCTCCCCGGCCGCGCCGGACACTCACAGATGAAGGGCTTGACCGTGCTGTGGATGTGCTTGTGCTGCTTGGCCCGAGGACGTGGCGAAGGTCTTCCCGCAGTCGGGGCAGGCGTGCGCCCGCGCGCCCACGTGCTGCGAGCGGATGTGCCGCTGCAGGTTGCTGGGGTCGGTGAACACCTGCGGACACGGAGGCCGTGGGGGTCCGCCCGGCCCGCTGTGGGCGGGGCTCCGCTGAGCGCCCCGGCCTCGGCGCCGGTCACCCCCGAGGGCGGCCGCGCGGGGCCGGGGCGCGGGACACGCCGGCTCGGGCGCCTCCCGGCGGGGCCGGGGCTGGGGCTCTCCCAGGGCGCAGGACGGGACGGCGGGGCCCGGAGCGCCTGGGCGCGGCTTGGGCTAGGTGGGCGGGTGTGGCCCGCGTGGATGGGCGGGAGGGCGGGGCCTTCCAGTGGGCGTGGCCGCGTGGACGGGCGGGGCCTGGGCGGGGCGGGGGCTTCTGGTGGGCGTGGCCCGTATGGACGGGTGGGGGCCTGACCGGGTGGGCGGGGCCTTCTGGCGGGCGTGGTCCGCGACGGTGGGCGGGGCCTGGCCGGGTGGGCGGGGCCCTCGGTGGGCGGGGCCGCTAGGGTGGGCGGGGCCCGGCCGGGTGGACGGGCGGGCGGCGGGCCGGCGCACCTACCTTCACGCAGTTCTCGCACTCGAAGCGCTTGCCGCTGTCGTGGGACATCTGGTGGCGGATGAGGTTGGACTTCCAGTTGAAGGCCTTGGGGCACTGGTCGCACTTGTACTCCCGCTCCTCGGTGTGCACGATCATGTGCTGCTCCAGGCTGCGGCACACTCGGGTCAGCGCCGCCGCGCGCCCCGCCCGCTCGGCCTCCTCCCCCGGGGTCACAGCGCCTGCCCGTGCCTCTGTCCGCCTCCCCTCTGGACAGGTCGACGCGGGGCAGAGGCAGCCTTCCCGGGCGGCAGGCCCCACCCTGGCCGTCCGGCCGCCAGAGGCAAGGCTGGACCCTGCGGCACCGGCCACTCTTAACCTCGAAGCTAACCTGGGGCCTGAGAAAAGAGGGGCCCGGAAGCTCTCAACACTGCTGTGGGCTGGAGTTGGGGCGAGGCCCGGGACCCCCAGGCCCCCTCCCAGCGGCCCGGAGGGGTGCCGGCCGGCCGGCTCAGGCTGGGGCCCCGCCACGCACACTCCGGGAGGGGCCGGGGGTGTCCCTGAGCCGGGCGGGGGGGCAGCGCTCAGCCTCCTCTCGGGGGACCCTGCTGCCGTCCCAGGTATGACCGTTAATCTTCATGAGCAAAGCAGTAATACATCACGGCCCGCTCATTACGGGGCCAGCCATCCGTTCCGATCAGAAACGCCGGCTCCTGAGCTCGAGCAGGTTGTATCTTTTTCCCTGTTGCTAATTGTGATTTATGTGTTTATGTAAAGAAAACACGGACCCTCTCGAGGGGCGCTCACCACCGAGGGCCTCAGCTGGGATTTGCCCAAATGCTTATTTTCTCTGTCATCTGCTCGGGGCGAGGGCTGCCCGTCCCCGGGGAGGCTGTGTGGGGTCGGCTCCGTCCCCTCAATCCCACAGCCTGTTAGCGGCCTGATGGGCTTTTGCTCTGACTTTGCTCCCCGAGGAGGCCTCCGGGGCTGATGAGATGCAGGTCCTGGCGCCCCCGGCTCGTCCTGCCCAGGGCTCCTGGGCGCCCCGGCTTCCCAGTCCTGAGTCTCACCTGGCCTTGCAGCAGAGACCGCAAGGGCCCACGCCGCCGGCTGCCTGGGGCTGCGTCCCAGACTTGAGAAGCCTCTTCTGAGGAGGCCTGCGGTTGTCTAGTCGGTCAGGCCACCGTGGGGAGCCGGGGGAAGGGCGTTGACCCCCCATCCCCACCTTGGACACCCTGCAGAAGTGGGCTGGGCCCCAGGCCGCGTCTCGCACCGTGCAGAGGCAGGGCCTTCTGTGCGCCCCCAGGGGGCTCCGGCCAGGGGCTGGGCCGGCCCTTGCGCTCAGAGCCAGGGGCACCTGTGGCCTCTGGGGCGAGCTTGTGGGTCTGCTCTGGCCCACGCCGGGGGAGTGGGCTGGGGTACAGCCGCTCAGGCTCTCGTCCACACCCAACAGGGCCGAGGACAAGGGCCGCCCCTTCGGGCCCCCTCTGTGCTCCCGGCCGTCTGCCCGCAGCCTAGCTGGCTTGTGGGGGCTGGGGGGGGGGATGCAGTGGAGGGACGCACCTGTACTTGTTGGGGAACATCCGCTCGCAGTCCTTGCACTCGTGGGCCTGCCCATCGCTGCCCCCGCTGCCCAGGCCCTCGGCTTTGAGCCCCTCGCCCAGGCCCTGGTAGAGCACGGCCCCCACGGAGCCGCACGCGTACTTCTTGTGGCGCCGCAGGTCCAGCTTGGACTGGAAGAGCTCGTCGCACACGTCGCAGGGGAAGGTGGGCTCCTCTGCAAGAGAGAGGGCGGGTGGGCGGTGACCCCCGACCTGCCCTGGCCCAGGGCCCTAGGGGGCGCGGGGAGTCCGTGGGGCCTGCCCCGGCTGGCTGGTCCCCCACTTCCTTCCGGCCTCATCCCGGACGAGGAGGGGCTGCCCGGGACGCGGGGGCCACGGGACCCCGTGTCTGCACTGCAGGGCGGGCCCCCCGGCCCCCCCACCCCCCAACCTCCTCCCCACCCCCGACCCGGAAGGCCGCGGAGGGCTTGAGAAGGGCCCACGCTCGGGAGCGGAGAAGGAAGCCAGGCCAAGTGCTTTGTTTATGAATTGGGAGAAAAAAGACGACAGAGCCCTAATGCACATCATAAATTATTGTCGTCAAGGTCAAACAAATTAAGAGGGGGCAGCTATTATTACGTTTACGAGGCAGCATCCTGACCACGGTGCCAAGCCAAACAATCAGCCTGGGGCTGTGAATTTCCTGGGGGGGGTGGCTTCCCAGTCTGTCCTGGCTCCCCCGCCCGCCCCGCCTGGCAGCGAGCGCCTCCCCCGAGTGCGCTCCCCTCCCCGGGCCCCCCACGAGTCTGGGAGGGGAGGCTCGCCCCCAGCTCCTGCACAGAGGCAGTGAGGGCGGGCGTGCGTGTGCATGTGTGTGTGGGTGTGAACGCCGCGCGCCGATGCCTGCCGTACGCCTGGTGAGTGTGCAGGTGTGCTGTGTGTCCCACCGCATCTGTGCACGCACCGTCAGTGTGCACACGCGGCACTTGTGTGCGTGTGTGTGGATTCCCTTGAGCATGTGAGTGTGAATGTGGGCGTGTGCCTGCGTGAATCCAAGTGTGTGTGTGGTGCGCCCTCGAGGACCTGGGGCTAGCACTGGGCACCTTAGCTTGGGCTCGTGCTGGCTGAAAGGGCCTGACCCGGGGGCCGAGGGACCAGGAGGCGGCGAGATGGGGCGACCCGAGGAGGCCCCCCCTTCCCCGGTGTCCGAGACCTCGGGCGGCAGCTCTGTGGCCTGGCAGGGTGTCTGCGGGCAGAGGCACCTCTCTGGCCAAAGCGCCCCTGAGCCTGTGGGTGGCAGCGCTGCTCCAGGTGTCTGGCCGCCGGTGGGTCCCCAGAGCCCCCACACCCAAGGGAGACTCTGCAGGAGCTGCCCTGGCCGAGCCCCTCACGGGACACCCTCGGGTGCTGCCTCCTACATGTGACTTCCCTTCCTGTCCGGCGCGGAGGGGACGGGTGGCAGGGCCGGAGCCCGGGCAGAGTGGAGTGGGGCGCCTTGCTGGCCGCCTGCCTGAGTTGGGCGTCCCTGCGGGGGCCGCTGCCGGGACACGCAGGCCCGAGGACAGCAGGGGCGGAGGGGTGGAAGCAGCCCGAGCCAGGGCCTGGGGACCAGCTCCAGCACCCGGCCCCTCTCCGGGGCCCTGACCGTGGGCAGGGGGCCCGAGTCTGGCCTTGGGGGCAGAAGGCTCTGCTCTGACATGTCCAGGAAAGGCCCCCTCGGAGCACCCTGGACACAGCCGGGCTGGAAGGAGGCAAGAAGGCGGCCACGCCAGAGACCCGATGCAGCGTTTGCAATCACGGACGCCGCAGAAGCCTGGAGCCCTGCGCGGCCCGAGCAGCTGGGCAGGGGCGTGGTGGGCCCCGGGGAGGAGGCCCCGCGCCCCCATCACCTGCACGTGCGCAGTGAGGCCTTCACAGCAGAACGGGGGCCCCGCGTCTTCTGGGAGCTGTACGGCCATCCCTGCGGACATTGGGGTCTGGGCCTCCATGGGCGCCCCAGATCCACCTCCTTGTGGTGCATCTCAGCAGCAGTCCACACCGGTGGGGACCATTCTGAAGGCTCCTGCAAGCCGCCGGGCAAACTGAGGCGGCCGGGAGAGGCTGTATAACTGGCCCAGGCCCCGGGAGAAGGCGCAGAGCCCCATCCCCGGCCCCTGCCACTGCGAGTCGGAGGCGGGTGCAGGACGGGCTGGGGCCGAGCAGTGTGCCCCGCCCCCGCAGACCTGCCTTGCCTTCAGAAATGTGGGTTTCCACCCCAGATGTGTCCTTCCTATCGGGGCCACGCACCCCGCCTGAGGTCGGGCCGGAGGCACGGCCCCCGACACTGCGCCCTGGGTTACGTGGCTCCCGGGGCTGGGGGGAGGCTGAGACGGGCCGTGTCACGCTGGGTTAGAAATGCCAGTTTTCATCTCGCTCCCTCTGCGCCCGGCCAAGAACCACTGTGGCAGGTGGAATTTGAAGACAGAGTCGAGAAGAAACACGAACCCCATTCACCGCGACGTACGGGGCGTGGCTCCAAAGTGACCATTCAGCCCATTCCTCACTCTGACGGCTCCTGAGGGCCCCGAGGGCGACGGGCAGACCAGGGGATTCGTGTCGCCCCCCGGGCCCTCCCCCCCACGCCCCCCCCCCGGCCCGGGCATGGCGTCGCCTAAGGTGGCCTCTGGGTGGCAGGCCTGTGCCGTGCACGTGGTGGCCTTTCCCGCCGAGAACCCTGGCAGGGCGGAGCGCGAGGCGTGTCCCCTGGCCACGCGGCCCACTGCTGGCCTGTCCCGGCCACGCCTGTCTCGCTGCTTCGTGCCCGACTGCTCTTGGAGAGGGGGAGACGTTCATCATTTTGAGCTCCCCTTAAAAGAGAAGCAAATTTGAACGGAAATGCTTTCCTTTATTTTCTCTCGGGCAAGAAGTTCTCCCGAAAGGGACACCCTTCCCCGCCCCACGAAAGAGCAAAGCCAGAGGCGCGGGGCTGCAGGGGAGGCCGGCTCCCTCCTCTCGAAGCCGCACGTGGCACACGGGGCTGCCCTGCCCGCCGGGGCTGCCCTCCGAGGGGGCGTCCAGGCCCACAGCTGGGGGCCCCGCGGGGCCCGACCCCATCGCAGGTGGACCCGGCGCCCCGGCACCACGCACAGCCAGCCAGTCCGCAGCCCCGGCCCCCGGCGGAGGGCCGCCTTCCCCACGCCAGCCCCCGACGGCACGGCCAGGCGGACCCGCGTCGACCCCGAGTCCTGTCCGCAACTTTTCCTGGCAGAGCCGGAACGTAACAGGAAAATAAATCGGTGCCTAATGGCTTCGGGGAGCCGAGGGGGACACAATTATATGGCATCTACATGCTAATCCAGCAGCCTGGAGGCTCAAAGGCGCCGGGAACCCACTCCAAATTCCCGCCGCGATAAGGCCCGCTGCATTTAGCCGGGGCTGGGATAAAAGATTTTTTATGATAATTATCTTAGTGAGGAACATTTTTGCATTTTCTTTCTGTGTGATTCAGAGTTTAACTGGGGGGGGGGTGGCTGTTGGGAGGCCAGAGAGATCTTGACAGGAAAGAGTATAAAAAGTCAAATATTTGATGTTGGGCTATTATGTGCGCGAAGCAATTAGCCCACAAATGTTTGATAAATTATTAGGAAAATGTAGACCCAGGTTATTTAAGATCGGGGGCTGGATTTTAAAACCTTTTGGAAGAAAGAGATTTCATTATACAAATGAAACCCCCTGGTGCCGCTGCGTCTTTGAGAGGCCTCGGGTGTTAGCTAAGATTCGGGGTCTTTTCTCAATTATTGGAAGGAAAAGGAGACCGTCCCCGGCCACCCTGGCCCGGCCATTAGGCCTCCCGCGCCAGCGGCCTCATTAACACCGAAGTGCAAGGTGAGTGCAGGCGCGCTGGCTCCTGCAGTCGCCCTTCTGGGGGGGTCTCTCTTTGGGGAACTCGGGGGTGAGCTGCTGCAGCCTCACGGAAGGGCCCGTTGCTGAGTCAAGCCGGGCACGGGGCGGGGACACGAAGGCAGGGCTCTCTACCCTGGCTGGGGGCTCCCGCTAATCCCGATGCCTGGCTCCCTGGCTTCATCGCAAGCCCTGCTGGGCTGGGGGTAGGGGGAAGAGACCGTCGGGAAAACCTGCCCCAGGCCCCCCCCAGCCTCCGCCCCTGCCCATCCCCGGCGGCCTGAGCAGAATCGCTGCTCTGAGACGGGGGCTTTCTGCTGCCCGCCTGCGGGTGCCAGCCACGGAGCAGGTGGCAGCGTGCCCCGGGGCCCCCGCCGAGCCGTGGGGGCGGCAGTTAAGGGGTCGCGCCCACATGGCATCCTCCCCGGCCCTCTGCTAAGGGATCCCAGGTACGGGCCACGGACGGCGCGGATGGAGCTAAAGTGAGCGCGGCTCCGCGTCCAGTGGGCTTGAGGCTGGTGCCCTCCACGCGGGAGACACACCAGGGGAGGCGGGCGCGGGAGGGAGTACCCACTGGGCAGAGAGGACGAGGGCGGGGGAGGTGCCCACGGCCCTGCCTGGAGCCTTCCACGCCCAGGACACGCCTGCATCACTGCCCCTGCCCCCTCCCAGACAGGGCGTCCCCCTGGTTCTGGCCGAGACGCTATTTCCAAGCACAGAACTGGCTGTTTTTCCTTTTCCTTTTTTGAAAGCCAACGACGCCTGTTGCTGCACTAGAATCCATCACAGACCCACTGGACGCTCACTCCCCGGGCCCGTCCAGCCGCGCCCCCCGCGAATTGGGTGTCTGGGGCGCCGGGTGGAGGCCGGCTTACCGTCCAGGCTGGGGGCACGGCCCCAGGGCGTAGGCGGCGTCCCGCACGTGCAGCAGCAGCTCCTCCCCCGGCTCGATGTCCTTGACGACCTTGTAGTAAATCTAGGATGGAGACACCAGAGAGCCCGTCAGCCTCGCCCGGCCTCCGTGTGCCCGCCCCGCGCCGCCTCTCGCTGCTGCCCAGGGTCCCGCTGGCACTTTGCCAAAGACGCCCAAAAGACCCGGAGTCTCGTTCCCACTTGTTTTATCCAGATGCGGGGCCTCGGAGAGGAAAGCTGAGGCCCGGCCTGGAGAGCCCCAGCAGGGCCATCCTGGCGGAGTCTGAGCTGTGTGGCCCTCGTCGGGGTGGCCCTGCTTGGTTCCGGGCTCTGCTGGTCAATGCTCGGGGTGCCCTTGCGTCCAGAGAGGCCAAGGGCGAATCTGGGTGTTTGCGAAGTGCGTGTGAGCGCGGACGGGGCTGCGTGGGCCAGCACTGTGGGGGCCATCAGCAGGGGGTGGGGGGGGGGGGGCCGCACACAGTGCCTCTTGGGGCCTGAATGGTGGGACCCCGAAAACAGGGCGGCGGGCTGGCGTCAGTGTCTGCCGCGGAGCGAGCCCCGAGCTCTAGAGAACCGACTGGGAAGTGTCTCCCGCGAGACCTCAAGCGGCCTGCGGTTGCCGGATGAGAGCTGGGGTCCGCGAGAGCCCCGAGGGCAGCGTGGAGGGGCCCTCGGGTGGGGCGGGACCCTGGGCTGAGCTGCCTGTCCTCTGCAGACCAGGGACATTAGCCTGGGGTGCCCACGCCTCACGCGAGCAAGGCCAACGCAGGGAGGCCGTGTCCAGGTTGGAAATGCCGGACGGCAGGTGTGTTTCCTCAGACCCACCACTGCCTCCCTGGCCACGCGGGCTGGCGTGGGGCTCTCCTCAGAGGGCAGCAGCCCCGGGGAGCCGGGAGCCTGAGTCTGGGGAGCCCACTCAGGTCCACCTGACCCCGGAGACGGGGGTTGAGATGGGGGCATGGCTTCTCAGCAGCAGCCGGGCATGGGCCGAGCTCCCTAGAGGCCGGGTAGGCCACACAGCCGGGCTGCCTGGCCCTGCTGCCCCCTTCCCTGGAATCATCTGGAAGGCTGAGCTTCCTGGTTACTCGTGCACCTCTCACCCCGACACCCCCGGCTGAGTCCAGCTGAGGTCTCCACCCAGCCTGCCAGTGCCGACCCAGAGGACAGCACCCGACTGTCCAGAGGACACCCAGAAGCCGCCCCGTCCTGACACCAGCTGGACGCTGCGCCGGCCCCTGTCGAGGGGCTGCGGGGCAGGAGACCCGCAGTGCACCCGTGTCCTGGGGGCACAGCCCCTGCTTCTGGCCCCCGGTGGCCTTAGTGGGCTGCTGTTCGCAGGTAACTTGCTACAACACGGAAACTGGGCACGTGACGTCCTCTAACTAAAGCAGGTGTTCTGCGCAGCCCGGGTGTGCACCGCCTGCTCCAAGCCCTGCACGGCGGCAGAATAGTAATAAGAATAAAATTCCGAGGTGCTGCTGGCCCCCAAATAGGACCCAAAGTGCACTGAAGCGGCAACAAAGCCCAGGTGAGCCCGTGACCCTGCAGGGCGGGGAGTCAGGAGCGGTTCCTAAGCGGGTTCAGCCGCACGGCGCACCCCTCCGGGCAGTGCGGCTGGCATCCTGCAGGGCGAGCGTGCAGGGCGGGAGGCCCCGGCGCTGCGGGTGTTTGAGGGCAGGGCAGACCGCTGCCCGCTGCCCACCCACAGCTCTCCCCGCCCTGCCCACTGGGCAGGCCCGGACAGACGCCCGCAGGAGGCCGGCGCGTGCTCTGACCTGGCGTCCAGGTTGGTGCGCGGCCCCCAGGCCAACACATTCCCACCCCCTCCCCCGCGGCCCGCTGGGCTCCTGACAGGGCCAGGACAAGGGGGGGGCCAGCGCCGCCCGCCCGCCTCCCTCCTCGGATTCCTGATTCCCGCCCCCACGGGCCGCTGGCTCTAGGGACCCTCCACATTTCCGCCTGCCTCGGAGGAGGGCCTCTAGATCTCCGGGGGCCCCACGCCCCCCGAAGGCCGCGGCCTTCCTCCCCCACCCCTGGGCCACAGGCCTTCTGGGACTCCCAGCCCCTCACCCCTCTCCTTGGGCCACCTTGTGTCTGGGACCCTCCACTCCTGCTTGGACGGCCGCTGCACCCCTCCTCCGGGGCCGCCGCCCTGTCCCCGCCCTGCCGTGCCCGGCTCTGAGGGCTCCCTGCGCACACCGGCCCACCGACCCTCCCGCGCCCGCCCGGCCGAGGGCCCTGGACTCCCACCTCTGACCGCCTCCAAGGCGCCAGGCCTCCGGGGACCCTTCCCTGCCTGTGAGGTGGCAGCCCCAGGCCTCGCGGGGAAGGGCCGGCCCGCCTGGCCCGGGGACCCAGAGCCGCCTGGGCCCCGCGCGGCGGACAGGAGGCGGTGAGGCGGTGGACTTTGAGCGCAGACAGAATTAATAGCTATTAGCGCTAATCGCAGGGCCTGGGCGGAGAGGGGTGGGGAGTCCCGGCCGCCGCTCTTGGAGGGGGGCCCGAGGGGGAGCAGGGCTCAGCACCGGCTTTCCCTGTTGGGCTGCCCGGCTTTGCCGGCGTCCATGGGGATCCTGAGCCCCACAGACGGCAGCTGCCTTCAGGGCCGGTCCAGTGGCACAGGCCTTATCGGCAGAGGCCCGAGAGCGCCTGGTTCCGGGGCCGCAGGGTCGGGACTTCCTGGGACAAAGGCCAGGGTGGTGGGAAGGCGCAGGACCGGCCAGGGCCACAGGCTTCGGCTGCGAGGCCTTTGTGAGCGCGGGGCCTGTGAGAACGCGTTTCCACAGCCCCCCAAGGCCCCCTGCAGGCTGGCTACCTGCACACCCCTTCATGGATCACCCCAGACCCCAGGCCCTGTGAGCGTGGGGAGAGGCGCCCCGTCTTCACAGGAGGAAGAGAGGTCGCTGCCGCCCTTTGGTCTCGGTGCCTCCAGGGAGGGCTCGGCCCGGGAGGGAGCAGGAGCGGCGGCGGCGGGGCCAGCCCTGTGCTGTGAGCGCTGCCTCCCTGCCGGGCCTGGGCCTCAGGGCAGTGTCCACGCGGCGCGGAGGACGGGAGGGCAGGAAAGCCTCAGCGACAGCGTTTGCTCTGGCAATACACGCCGCGAGGGCCCGCAGAGCTGGCCAGGCGGCCGGGGCCTGAAGGCAGGTGGGGTGCGGCGCCCGCCTTGCGGCCAGCCTTGGCGTTACTGCGCGTGGCCAGCAGCCCCGGCCTGCCGGCTGGAGACCGCCTCGGCGCGCCTGCCCCCGCCCCCCGCCAGGCAGCGCGGCTCGGGGGCGCACAGACGCCGTGGCCTCACGAAAGCCAGAGAAGCCGCCCCAGCGAAGCCAGACGGAGCACTGGCCGCTCGTGCCCGCCCAGCGTCCGGGAGGCGGAGCCCACCGCCACCGTGACCCCGCGTGACCCCGCTGCCGCGCCTCCCCGGGTGCCGTGTTCCCTGACTCTCAGGCCGCCGAAGGACACGATCTCCCACGACAGGGCTTGGAGCGCCCGGTTTTCTGTCACACCGACTTAGAGCTTTTGGGTGTAAATGGACGAGGCGGCCGGGGTCCGGCAGAACCCACGGTGGTCGGCTCCCACTGCGGGTGCCCGTAGGGCGCCCCCAGGCCCAGTGACCTGGGCGGCTCTCCCTGCGTGGCCACTCTAAGGCGCCGAGAGGCCGTGTGGACTGAGCAGGTGGGATCCGCGCTCGCCTGGAGACCCAGCCCCTCACCCCGGGTACCGGGAGGCCGGGTGCCCGCAGCCCCCGCCCCCCCCAGGAGAAGCGCAGGCGAGGGGAAGCTGCCCCCCAGACCCCGCTGGCCACGCAGCCTCTGACCTGTGCTTCCCGGAGGACGCTGTCCTGAGGGTCACCCTGAGGTTAGCCCGCGCATCCACCTGGGGTCCCGGGGCTGCCCCCGTGGCACAGACCTGGGATGCGTCCCACCACCTGCCGTCCCACCTACGCCGTGCCCTCGGGGAGGCCTGGACTCCTGCCCTGCGGTGGCAGAGGGGCCAGTTGGGGGGTAGCCCCAGGCACTGCCCAAGCCCAGTGGGGTCCGAGCCGCAGGGTCTGTGAGGGGCCTCACTTTCTCTGCCCGGCGGTGCTGTGCGTGAGGTGGCCTCCGGCCAGTCATCCATCCTCGGAGCAGCAGAGCTGGGCCAGCCCAGGAGCCCTGGGTTCAGCCCATGGCAGCTCCAGGGCCAGGCAGGGCCAGGGTCAGCCGGCCACGCTTGCCACGGAGGCCGTGGCTATGGGGCCCAGGTCCCCACTTGTGGGAACCCCCACCCTGCAGCTCCAGCCCTGACGAAGCCCCCACGCTCCAGCTGTCCAGTCGTGCGGCTGGGACAGGACATTATTTTTTGCTAAATATCAATTCTTGGTCGCGGCTGAGCTCTCTCCCCATCTCAACGGTGTCTGCTACACTGCTGGGAAGAGGGTAAATCCCGAGGTGCGGCCGGGGCGGACCAGCCGGTCAGCCGGTCAGCCCTCAGACCAGCCGGTCAGCCGGCAGGCGCAGCAGCTCCCGGCCACGGCGCGTGCGGCCCTTTCGTCGAGGGCCTTGTGAACGGCCAAGAACGCTGGGACGGGTCCCCGCCGCCTTGTCATCGGAGGGAAGGTTGTATGAGCTGTTCGGAAGCCACCAGTTTGGGGAGTGGACGCATGTACGACTTTTCTTTGAAAAAATCACGGGGATGAGAGCAGAGTCGGGGTGGGACAGTCCGGGGGGACCGGGCAGGGCGGTGGCCGGTGCCTGGCCTTGAATCCCAGCCCGCAGCCCCGGGCCCTGAGGGGACAAGAGGGGTCACACCAGAGAGAATGAAGCCAAAGGGGACGCCCCTCCCCGGCCAGGCCGCCTTGTCCTGGAGGCCGCAGGTCCCGCCAGAGACCAGCGCAGGCCTGGAGGTGGGGATCCGCCAGTGGCTCGGCTGGTGACCTCCGTCCACCCACTCTGGGGGCCGTGGGGCTGCCTTGTCCTGGGGACACGGTCCCCGCACTCTGCTGTGGGGACTTGTGACGCGTGTGGGTGACTCCAGCCCCACGCGCCCCCCCGGCCTCCTGGCACGCTCTGCTGACCCAGGAGCGAGAGTGGAGCCTGAAAAAGGCCGCCCTCAGCCCGCGCTCCCCCAGCTATTTCCTCTCCCCGCTTGGAGCAGACGCTGCCTGTGCTTCCCGGGACGTTTCCCACCAGCTTGTTTGCTCATAATGGCTGGAAGGACCGTCCACGGGCAACCAGGTCTCCAGAATTTTCCCAAACGAAAGGTAGACATGGGGGGCAGCACCCTGGGGGGGGCTGTGTCTCCCGTGTGAACTGACCGCCATGGGCCCGCTCTGCTTTCTGCTCATGGTAAGTGGACACATCAGCCCAGGCTCTCGGCTGTGGCCAGAGCACCCCCCGCAGGCCCGAGAAAGGCCGTGGCCCCGACCGCGCTGCTCGGTTCCCGTCGGCCTGCACCCGGCCCGAGCCGCCTCAGGGCCACCTGCGGCCTCGCTGTGGGCAGGGCGCATCGCAGCCGCCTTTCAGCGACAGCGTCAGGTCCCGCATGGAGGGTGGCCGGCGTGGCCTCTGCCTCTCCCGCCCGGGGGGGTGGCCAGGAGGGTGCTGGCAGGAGCCGCGGGGTCTGGAGGCCCTGGGGGACCTCGGCGCCAGCCACGCCGCACAGGCTGGGAAGACGGGCCGGTTCCGTGGAAGCCGGGCCAGCGCTGCCGGGGGAGGGGCCGGGTCCTCCGCGCCGCCCCCTCCCCCCACCTGCCTCCGGGGTCACGGGCTCTCTTTGGAGCCGCTCGGTTCCTTCGCCCCTTTCCTCACGCGCGTCCCGCCTGCCCAGCTGGCTGCCCGCGGCCCGTGTGCAGCCGTCCATGCCCAGGCTGGGGCGGGCGGGGCTTCAGGGGCTCAGGGCAGCGGTCCCCAGGCTGGGGGCGCCTGGCCAGAGGCCGCACACACAACACAAGCCGGAGCCGGCGGTGGCGGCACAGAAGCTGGGGTGCAGGGCTGCGGGGCCCCCAGGCCGTCTGTCCACAGACCCTGCATCAGCCCGGGAGGCACCGGGCAGGGGGGCCGGGCCGGCCGGGCCCTTGGAGGCTACCTGCCGGCCAGAGTGCACCTGACCCTGAGGTGGCCTCAGGAACGGATGACCAGGGCCTCCCGCCTGCCTTGACCCGCCCTGAAGCCTGGGCACCAGCCAGACTGGGAAGACACCCGCTCTCCTGCCCGCTGCGCCAGGCCCTGCGGGCCCCCTGCGGAGAGCGGACGCGCCCTGGGTTTGGAGGGTGTGTGTGTGATGTGTGGTGTGTCTGGTGTGTGTGTGTGGTGTGTGCGTGGGGTGTGGTGTGTCTGGTGTGTGTGGGCTGCTCCGGGGTCCCCCGGGCGGGGTGCAGCTGATGGCCCTCCAAGGGTTGAGGTGCCCTCCTGGGTGAGTCCTGGGGTCCCTGTCTTGGGGACGCGTGGGGGGCCGTCCCTGGGGCTGGCGCGCGTGGCCACGGGCTGGCGGAGGGAGCTCCGAGAGCGTGGTCCGTGTCTACCGAGTGACCGTCACCGTGCGAGTCCCTTGCCATGTGGATGCGCAGTTTTGGGACCGGCCTCCTGCCTGGCCGTGGGCATCGCTGAGGGAGGGCGCAGGCGGGCAGCGGCCAGGGGCTCTGCAGTTGCCCCCGTGGGGTGAGCGCCGGCCCCGGCTCTGTGGCCCTCCCAGTGCCTCTCCATAAATGCTTGTCCCTCGTGCCCAAGATGGGGGACGGACCCCCAACGTTTGTTGGAGAGTAACAGCAGCTGAGGGGCTCGGGCCCTGGGGCCGGCGTCTGGGCCGCACGGGTTGTCGGGAGGGGGTTCCCTGGCCCTGGGGGCTGAGGGGCGCTTGGGAGGAGACGGCAGGACGCGTCTCGGCCCGCACTGCCCACGGAAGAGGCTGGCTGCGGAGCGGTCAGGTCCACGTGGGCCTCCGTGGGCCACGCTGGAAGCTCCTGATGCTGGCCCAGGAGCGCCCTCCCGCGAGAGGACCCTGTCTGCTTTGGGAGCGCCCCGGACGGAGCTGCTTGGCTGCCCGAGTGTGGCGCCAACGTAAAGGCTGCGCCTTCCGGTTCCGTGTCTCAGACACACGAGCCTGAGCCGACCGTGGGGCTCTCCACTGACCCCCGCCAGCTCCGCTCCCACGGAGGCCAGACACCGCTCTGGACTCTCGCCCGCTTCTCGCCACTTAAAGCCGCTTCCGTCTGGGAGAAGGAAAGTTTGTTTTTTTTTAAATCTGTTCTGATTTTTACAATCAGAAAAAGCATCTTTTGCTTTACTTCTGAAGTGTCTTTTACACGCAAAAAAAAAGTGATTTTCTAAATCTTGGGTTCTCACCAGAGGCTGCAGGCGTCAGCAGCAGAGGTGGCCTCGGCTCGGGGCGCCCCAGCCCGAAGGCAGCAGGAGCTGCGAGGGGCGGCGGGAGGGGTGCCCGTGGCGCTGAGAGGGAAACCGTTTCTGCAAAGCCGGGCCTGGCGGCCGCGTGGTCCACACCACCAGGGACCTCCCTCCTCCAGTGCTCCGCAGACGTGTTGTAGAGCAGTGGAACCCCTTTTGCAAATGAAATCTCGTGTACCCCAAGATCGCAGAGGCGAAAGAAAACCACTCGGGTGGCAGAGGCTGGGCGCCCCGAGCTCTGGGTTGTGGGGTGAGAACAAGGGCGCAGGGGGCCGGGGACACTCTCTGAGGGGGCCGCCTCACAGGCACAGGGGGGCCGGGCAGCCCCCGGGGACCCCACCGCAAAGGTCCAGAGAAGCGGCGCCCGAGGACCCGGTGGGATGAGATCTGGTCAAACCAGTGCCATGATGCCCGCAACGCAGCTGGCACTGACCCGCAGGACACACGGTCCCAGGGGCTGCATGCCGGGGTGAGGGTGTCCCTGGGCCCCGGAGGCCAGGTCAGGAACACTCAGCTCTGGACAAGGACCAGCCGCTCCCAGGGTGCGGCGCTTTGTGTCAAGTGAGGCCGATCTCCTGTATGGGCTTCTGCCAGCTTGGTGACCCCCAGGTCGGGCACCCCGGCTGCCCTCTGTGCAGCAGCCCCTCCCCAGGACGCTCGGCAGGCCAGTCTGTGCCTGTCTCGGAGCGGGGGGACCCCTGCGGCCCTGGGCCCATGGACGGGCTGCCTACCAGCCTCGGCCAGCTCTCATGCCCCGTCCGGTCTGCAAGGCGCTGAATGAGGGCCGGAGGGGCATTCATGGGGTGCAGACGAGCACCCGGAACCCCAGTGCCAGCCCAGTGTCAGGGAGCGGCCCCGCCCGTGCAGGTCGCCGGGAGGGGCTGGGGGGTGCCCCTGCCCCCGGGCCCATGTCCCGGGCCGTGCCGGCCGCCCTACCTGCTCGTTGACCTGGCACATGGTGAGGTTCTGGGCATCACAGGAGCAGGCCACCCGGATGTACTTGAGCCAGCTGCCCGCCCCCGCCTGCTGCACGTCCACGCAGAACTTCTCGCTGCCCAGGTCCTCGGAGATCTGCCCGGGGGAGAGAAACCAAGGGTCAGCGCAGCTGGGCAGGACTCTGCCCGGGCACTTGCCGGGCAAGCATCCCAGCCACGGGGCCCAGAGGAGGGTAAGTCTGCTCCGGGCATCCGCTGACCGCAGGCCTCAGCTGGCCCACCCATGCCCGGAGGCCCCAGGCCCTCTTCTCACCGAGGGGTCCCGCCCTGGCTAGGCGGTGAGGGCACCCCCACCCTGAGAAGCCCCGCAGAGCCGTGTGGGCCGGAGGGGGGGGTTCTGGTGTCAGAACAGGGCCAGGCTGTGGGCAGGAAGCGTCCAGGAGGCGAGGTGCTGAGCGTGAGCGCTGGTGTGAGCGTGAGTGTGCCCCTCCCGCACACCACCCCCGAGCCGGAGAACACCTGGTCCTCAAGTGCAGGGTGTTGATTGGACGCTGGTGCTCGCCACCCCGGCCCCCCACAGCCACGAGGCCCCACCCCAGCGCGGTCCTGACGGCTCCCCGACATGCTGCTGGCTTTCTGGGGGGCGTGGCGGTCTTGGTGAATTCCTTCCTTCCAGAGAGGCTAAGCCGAACCTCTGAGAGGGGTCGGGTGGCTGGTGACCCCTCTGGACGTGGCCCCGCTGGGCAGGCAGAAGCAGCCTGGGCTGGGTGCCTGCCATGATGGTCAGCAGCGGCGGGGCCTCCTGTGGTGCCAGGACAGGATTCCCTGCTGTCCCGGGACAGAGTCCAGGCCTGCGGGCTCCCCTGGGCACACCTGGGCACACTTGAGTGCTGAGTGTGGGGCAGGTGCTCAGCAGCTGGTGCTTCCCTGCTCCGCCATGCATTTCCCGGGCGCCCAGCGCTGCCTCTGCCCAGGTGGGCAGGACGTGGGCCTGGGGCCCGTGTTGGCTGGGGACAGGGCTCTGGCCCCAGAAAGGGGGACACGGCGCAGACCTGGACATCGGTCTCCCTCCAGCCCCTCTCCTTGGCGTCTCTGCCCTCCTCGGCGGGGTGGGGGGCCCAGTGGTCAAGTGGGGGTGTGGGAGGGCGGCTTCCCCAAGGGGCGTCTCCTTTCCACGCCACCCCACATGGCGCCAGCGCATGCCAGGCCAGGCTCTCGACACACACACGCGGATGGGGTTTTAGCTGCTGTGTGGACCGCGAGGTCCAGGCAAGGACTTTGGACTGAGCCCCTCCCGTCCACGACTGAGTCCCTCCTGTCCAGGAGCCCAAGCGGCCGTGCACCCCACCTCCCTCCGTGGACTTGCGAGGACGCGCTGGTGGGCCTTGGGGACACTTCCACGGGGTTCCCAGCGGGGGTGTGGGCCAGGTTGAAGGCTCTGGCCCCTGCTCCCCTCGGCCCGACCCCTCGGGGGCCCCTGACCCATCTGAGCGTGCCCACGAGCAGACGCCGGGCCTCCAGCACCCCAGCCGCACGGGGACTGCTCCTTGTGGGCCCTGCCGCTGCTGCTGGACCGGAGCACCCCGGGAGCTGAGGCCCAGGCGGAGCCCGTGGCGACGCTCCAGCTGGGTGGTCGGGACAGCGAGGGCACTGGGTGCAGAGCCCCCGATCCTGCGGGCTGGCGAGGTCCCCACTTGCGGGTGGCGCCCCCGCCCCCCGCTGCCCCAGGCTGCCCTGCTCCTCGGGCCTGGGGTGAAAACACCTCAAACCACGCGGGACCTGGCGCCGGGGAGCGGGAAGTGGCTGCCAACCGCAGACGCTGGCTCCAGGGCTTGTGCCTGCCTTGGGCCTGAAGCAGAAGCGAGGCAAAGCGAGCGCCCTGGCCCCGCCCGCCGCCCGCCGGTGCAGGGTCTGCACAGGAAGCGGGGCCCTGCCAGGCCTGGCGTCACATCCGTGACCTTTCCTGGCCACAGAGCTGGTGACAAACGGCGGCACTTGCGAGCGGGGCACCTGGCACGTGCAGGCGGAGCCCCCACCACAGATGGGGGAGGGCTGGGAGGCAGCCAGACACCCCCGCAGGGAGCACGGGCCCTGCACCCCCGCCGTGCCCCCGGAGCTGCCCCCACCTCATGGCGGCATGTTGCTGAGAGGGCCGGGCTGGCGCGGGCTGCCCACGCGGGCTGGGAGGGCAGGTCAGCTCGCCGCCCCGCTCTCTGAGGCCAGCCAGGCCCTCGCCCTGGCCGGGTCGCGCGGCTCTGCCCCCACCCTGCGGTCGGCTCTGCCGCGCTGTGTCGTGGGCTCGGCTGCTGCCACGGCTGAGCCTCGCTGTACCCGGCCTCCGGCAGCCACAGTCGAGTCACGAGGCCATGGCGCGGGCAGGCAGGCCCTGGCCCTGTGTCGCCGCGAGCTGCAGACCAGCAGGCAGGCGCTGGCGGCACAGCCCTCACGGTCTGTGGGCACCAGCATCGCCCCTTCTGGATCGTTCTGCCCTTTCTCCTGTCTTCCACTTGAGAATGGCGGCTGAGAGCAACGGAAGCTTCCCCGGAAACGCGTCAAGGACGCGTGTCGATCGGGCCCACGGAGCAGCTCTGTGGGCAGATGGAGGTTGGGTGGGTGGAGGGTGGAGGGTGCATGGGTGAGGCTCCAGCTCTCCATTTTGCCCAGACATCTCTGGCTTCTCAGCTGCCCACAGGAAGACGTGTGGGAACACCCCCCACCCCGGCACAGGCTGCCCTGACCCCCACACGGCCCTCCGAGGGCTCTCAGCCCCGCCCTTGGTGGCTGGACCACCCGACGCTGCGGGCTTTGAAGGTCGCCTCTGGGTGAAGCCCGGAGCCAGGCGTGCCGTGACGTCCCGTGAGCCTTTGGGGGACACATGGAGGAAGTGGGTGTCTCAGGACACTGGGGATGCCCCAACTCCCATGGCCCTGCCGGTGGACCTTTCTTCCCCTCTGCCCTTGCTGCCTCCACGGGCTCTGCTGACGGAAGCGCGGCCCCTCCTGGGCACCCCGAGGGGCTCTGCCTCCCCCGAGGCCAGAGCTGCCCATTCCTGCGTCCGGCGTCATAGGCCCTTGCGCCACGTCCCAGCGCCACTGCCCGGGGCCCGGGCGGCGTCCAGCTCCCCAGGCGCGGCCTGGCTGCCAGGCCCTCTGGGCACACAGTAGGGGCTCAGCGGGGTCTGGCGGTGGGGACGGTCCACGTGCTATATTTAGCTGTCCCTGCGCCCCCCCTTCCTGGGCCCCATCCCTCCCCTCCGGGGACGCGTCCGTCTGGAGAGGCTCCCAACTCCCGGCCTCTGCGTCGGGCCTCACGCGTGACGTCAGCGCCTGCAAATAGCTCGGCTCTCAGCAGGCCGCGTCTCGCCAGCGCCGTGCCAGGCCCGCGCCAGACAAACATGGTCATTCGCTGCGCAGCGCGGCCGGCAGCGGCCCTGGTCCCTCCCGCAGGCCGTGCGCGGAGGGAGGAGCCGGCGGCCGGCTTCGTTCTGACTTTGGGGGGAGGCGAGCTTTGCCCCCACCCTTGCCGCGAGGGTCTTCCTGGGGCCTCTGTTTCTCGCAGGGGGCCAGAGCGCACCGCTACCTGCTTGAGCGCGAGTGCGGGAGTCCTGGGCCCTGTGTGGCGGCCCCCGGGTCCCTTCCTCCTCTGCACCTGCCCAGCATGCCTGCGGGGGGCCCGGGAGGTGGGGACGGCGAGGCAGGGGCTCCCGTGGGCCCCCCAGAGGCTTCCTGCCTCCCAGCCTCCCAGGCGCTGCCGTCCCGACCGGAGACCACCCGGCCTCGGTGCCGGACCCCGAGGTGGACGTGAGCTCGCCCGAGGCCCCGGCTGGCTTCCTTCCCGGCGGGGGGCCCTTGGGTCAGATCAGCAAGTTTGGAAATGATTCATCGACAGGCGCAGCGGAGTCAGTCTTGAATGACAAATGGAAGCAATTAAATCCAGCAGCTCGCCCGCGTCCCGCGGCTCCCGGGCCAGTCACCTCTGACGAATATATTAAAGGAATTAAAAGTGTGTCCCCCACTCTGACATTACCTGGATCCCTTTCAAGTCCACCCAGCCAAGCCCCGGCATCCATTCAGGCCCAGGAAACAGCACAGAGACGCTGATTGAAAATCCTGATGGCGGCGTTGCTGCCCCCCGAGCGGGAGCTCCCCGGCACCCCGCGCACAGCGGCCAAGACGGGCCTGGGAGCCTCGGCGGCGCGGGGGGCCTGTCCCGTGGCTTCTGCTATTGTGTTTTTTATTTGAAAAGGGCAAGATGGCGTGGCGGTCCCCTCCTGGAGTGAGCTGAGGTGCCTGCCTGACGGGGCGACTCTCGTGGTGTCAGGACGGGGTGAGCCCCCGGGGCGGGGGACCCCACTCAGGCAGCTCGGGGTCCCCTGAAGGTCCAGCTGGGGGCGGGACGCAGGCAGGTGGCTCACCAGCCCCTGTGCAGCCCCAGGGCCCTCTGCAGGTGCCGGCTGCAGGCCTCTCCCAGGGAGTGCTGTGTGTGTCCTGGACGGTCCCCCCACCCCGGGGTGGGCAGCTGAGGGGGCACCATGTCTGGAAGGGCTCTGGCGTCCCCTGCAAATTTTGTGGACTTCTGGCTTTTCTACAAGCGACATCGGCAGAAGGTTCCTCATGGTGGTCTGCACCGCCATCGCCATGGGACGGCTGGGCCCCTCAGAGCCCCTCTTGGAAGAGGGGTGGAGCACTGGTCTGTGGAGCACTGGAGAGTGGCCCCTGAGCTGGGTGCTGTGTCCAGAGATTGTTGCCCAGAAGTGCCCGGGGCAGCAGATTCAAGATGGCGGTGCAGAGTCTAGATGGTTGGTGCTGACATAGACCCCCGTTGGCAGGTTTGGGGGTGGCCTTAGGCTGACAGGTTGGTCCTCAGTGACCCCTCAGGGGCCAGGAGTGTTCACTGGCCTGAGGGCCCCCCGAGGTGCACGCAGCGCCTCCCCTCTTGGGGGCACGCCCCGTCCAGAGGCGCGCTCCCTCTTGCCACCCTGCAGGGGCGTCAGCTGCGAGAGCCCCTTTATTTCCTCCGCTCCTCACTCCCTCGCCGTGTCTAACGCTCCTTTCATTTCACATTATTTCTCTTTAGCCTTCGTCTCCGAACGACAGCTATTTTTAGATTATTTTTAAGTAAAAATAGTCACGTGGA